ATATGACCATCAAAACAAATGTACTGTTTATCAAGTAAAGATAGGTGCATTGGTTATTTTTTAAAAAAAGATCTTTATTTTCTGAAAGAAACAGAGATGCATTGCCACAGCCCCTACAAAGAAAACAATAATCCATTGTTTCAGCTACAGCTAGAAAGAAGCAGGCTCACAGCAGCAATACAAAAATTGAGAGTTTTATTCATCACATTAATGAACTGTCCTGTATAATACTGTATAATTTTTTTAGGCTATAAAACCTGATAATAATTTTTTAAAAGTACCAGAACCAATGGCTGCATAAGTGAATTCTTGTTATTTTTACCTTTAGTCTCCCATGGAACCCCATTAAGTTCTCATTGAATCTTGAGGTTCTGCAGAACACAATTTTAAAAGCCCGACTTCATAACAGATAACATACCAAACTAACTAACTCACAGTTCAATAACAGAGGCTCATCAGTTTGTCTACATATGAAGATATGAGAGCTAGATTTCCCCCCCTAAACAATATCTTGTGAGGTAAAAGAAACAAGTAATAAAAGTACATTAAAATGAAGACAATAATGTCTCCACATCAGTTCTAAAATCTTCCTAGACTTACTGATGTCATCACTGCTAATGGCTGTGTACGTGTTATAAGCAGGAATCACTCATATTAGAAAGTTTTTTTTATGACAGTCTTCAGTCAAGCTTTACTGATCATAAATTCTATGTATCTGACTCCCATATACTTTCTAACCACTTTCCAAGGAAGGGGAAAAGATAAAGTAATTGGAGGCTTTTTAAAATAGGCACTCAAAGATTAAGTCACAAAATAAAATTACAGTCTGCTTTAAAAATGTTTTTTAATCATCCAACGGAGGCCCTATTCACATTATCAAATTAATATAAACCATGACTCGCACATTGCATTATACCAAAAACAATAACAAACCACATTGCCTAAACCATTAAGGGTGAATTCAGCCAAAGCGTCTCCTGGTATTCATGAGACAACCTCTTTTACCTAATACGTTCTTGTTCACACATATGTTGAAGCTTAGATCAGTACAAATGTTGATAACTGGCATGAGAATATTGATCTTTTTCATCCAGAACTACTACCTGCCCCTTTATTGTAAGGTTACCTTAACATAATCTTACAAGGCTGAAAGTACATTTCTCCTCCTTCACCCTTACAATCCAAGAAACTAGAGACGGTCCTTTCTGAGACATTTATACCACACACACACACATACACAGAGTCTTTCTTTTGTAAGTTCAGCTGTCTTTTATCTGACAATTGCCTAGAGTCTGTGGCTCTTCCTCTTCTCTCAAGGTCATTCCCACATATTATTACACAGCCTGACCATCTCCATTAAAACCATTCTACAGATGTGAACTACAATGACATCCACTGCATTAGACCTGAATCTGCTCCAATTAGCATTAAGCCTAAAAATGAAAAGAAGCCATATGAGCGTTTGTCCATGAAAAACAATCTCTCTCCAAAGCAATTTTGATAGAAAAGTAGCTCAGGGAGAAAGGGTTAGGCTTAAGGGTTCTTACCAATTTCCAGTCAAAATAGTTATTATTTCAGAAAATTACATTCAGGAAACAGGGCAGTCGGTATCATTGATCCATTCATTTCTCAGAATCTAATTTAGTCTGGTCATAAAAAATGCACACTCTGTTGAACACCCTTCTAAATTTAAGAAATGGGGCAAGGGGACACCATCAAGCTAACAAAATTCAAATTTTGCTTGGTGCAGCCAATGAATCAGTTCATTGTGAGCCTCAGGCCTGGGTTTTATAACTGAGATGGAGTTCGATTTGGCATTTTCAACTTTGACAATTTTGTTGCCATTGTTCTTTCCACTGCTAAAGATAAAGATGTTAAGATAAACTCCTCATGGTCTTAATAAGTGCATAAATGTTTGAATGAACACATGAATCAGCTAATATTATTTTAGGCAAGGCCAGATTAAGTACAGCACAAGATGGTGTCCCTTGACAAAAGCAAAATTCTCAAGCCATGAAAAAATATGATATCTGATGACACTTTCAAACCAAACTTTATTGGAAATCAGTGAGTGGTACGGTTACAAAAATTGTAACGTCTAATTTCAACTTGTCCCGTCTGTTCCTGTTAATAATTTTTTTTATAACTGATTTCAGTTCGTCGTCAGTTTTTTATTCCCCTTACTATCGATCCCCCTTTTGTAAGACACCGAGGGAAAGTAACCACTGAATTCCTACACGAATAAAACGAATTACATTAATCCAGGACTGTTTTTGAGCTAAGAAGATAATTCCTCCAGAATATTCAGATATTGATAGCTGTATTCACAATGTGCCACCCTAGTGGTGCAGTGGTTAGAATGCAGTATTACAGGCACACTCTGCCCACAGTCAGGAGTTCGATCCTGATGGGGCTCGAGGTTGACTCAGCCTTCCATCCTTCCAAGGTCAGTAAAACGAGGACCCAGATGGTTGGGGGCAATATGCTGATGTTGTAAACCATTCAGAGAGTGCTGTAAAGCACTACAGAGTGGTATATAATTCTACGTGCTATTGTTATGTAAAGGACCATTACAGTTTCCCAAATGTGATTATCATTACAGCATCTCTCTGTAAAATTTCAGAAATTAAAAAAAAACTTTTTTGTGCTTTTGAGTCAGTGTTGACTCCTGGCGACCGCCTGGATGAATATCTGCAGTTCCTTGGCAAGGTTTTCCAGAAGTGATTTGCCACAGTCTCTCCTAGGACTAAGATAGATGGAGTGTCACAAATCACTCAGCTGGCTTTGACTAGAACCTATGGGCTCTCACTTTTTAGCCTTGTACTTTAACTACTACACAAAAGTGGCTCTTTAAATTAGCAGAAACCCCAATCTTGTAATTTGAGTTGGGTGATTAGACCCTAAGCTCTAGAACAGTGATGGCGAAACTTTTAGAGACCGAGTGCCCAAACTGCAACCCAAAACCCACTTATTTATTGCAAAGTGCCAGGGCCGCATCAGCATTGTAGTGCTCTCAGGGGAGCGGGTGGGGGGCGTGGCCCACTGGGTGGGCATGGCCGCTGGGTGGGCATAGCTGTGGTGGTCACAGCTGTGGTGGTCACAGCTGCGGTGGTCATGGCAAACTGGGTGGGCATGGCCGGGGTGCATGGGCCGGGACCAGGGTGGTGGGGACCAGTCCGTCACCATCTCCGGGACATCCCCAGGGGGCCAATGCCCCGTGCTCGCTCACTTCCTGCCCCGTCGCTTCCAAACGCCACGTGCTCGCTACTCTGGCAAACTCTGCTAGGGCGATGGCGTGTGTGCCCACAGAGAGGGCTCTGAGTGCCGCCTCTGGCACCCATGCCATAGGTTCACCACCATGGCCCTAAGCTCTAGAACAATTGAGTAACATGAATTCCAATCCCCTTGAATATTAGTCTTTGTGGCCAATGAAGCAGCATAATATTAGTTGTAGTTCAACAGCCCCTGAAAGGCTGTGCATAGTTCTAAAGCAGGAGTAGGGAATAGATTTTTTTTTTCATATTTCATCTGCAATCAATGTTTCTGATGTGTTTGGCTATCATATTGCCTCTCATGATTTCTAGGCTAAGCATATCCAGTCCCTTCAATCTTTCCATGTACTGTAGTACACATATCTGGCATCTCATCACCTACTTTGTCTCCTACTTCCTGATTACCTTCACTAAAATATGGCACACCAAGAAAGCCGCAGGAAAGGCCTAACCAAAACAGAACAGATTGCTCCCATTAGGTCTCACAATTGAGACAAGAATCCCTCCTCACCTCATAAATTTATTTGTATGTCACATCAAGTCCCAAAGTAACATTAAAAAGGGGATTAATGTGTACTCTGGGCCACCACTAATTTATCATTAAGAAAATTTATATGGCTGCCCAACTCACAGTGACTATGGGCAGCTTACGCATAGACCTAGCTCAGAGAATCTGACTCCAGAAAAATAATGCAAACAAAAGTGAGCATAAGCATCTAACAATTAAATAAGCTACAACAACCTTGTAGAACTAAGACACTTTACATAGCTGCAGGAGGAAGAGAAACCTATATTCGTATATCACATTTAACCATGGATGATTATGGCCCATGAAATACCGTAAGCCACAATCAGCTAGATCAGGGGTCTTCAAACTTGGCCCTTTTATGGCTTGTGGACTTCAACTCCCAGGATTCCTCAGCCAGTGTGCCCTGCAATCTAAAATCAATATGAATTAAATGTTTCTCAGGGGGGCAATCGAAGATAGAGCAGCCTCTCTTCCCCTACAGTTGAGCAAAGAAACTGCAGTACAGGCAGTCCTTGACTTACAACAGCAATTGAGCCCAGCATTTATGTTGCTAAGCGAGACATTTGTTAAGTGAGTTTTGCCCGGTTTTACCTTTCTTGCACAGTTGTTAAGTGAATCACTGCAGTTGTTAGTAACATGGTTGTTAAGTGAATCTCTCTTCCCCATTGACTTTGCTTGTCAGAAAGTCGCAAAAAATAATCACAACTCCAGGACACTGCAACCGTCATAAATATGAACCAGTTGCCAAGCATTTTAATTTTGATCACATGACTATGGAGATGCTGCAACATTCGTTAAGTGTGAAAAACGGACAAAAGACACTTTTTTCAGTTCCATTGCAACTTTGAACAGTCACTAAATGAACTGTTGTAAATCGAGGACTACCTGTATTTCAGACCAGCCTAATAGGTCTCTAGCAGCTTAATCTAGATCCCAATCCCTGCAATTTCCACCATTCCCTTTTTAATAGGCTCTTGGAACGATGGGAATTGCAGTGCAGAAAATGAATGGCGGACGTTTAAGGCTGCAAAAATGGCTTAATACGGGGAGGTTTTTGCACACGTTTCCCCCCCCGTCCCACCGACGGGTCACGGCATTTACCGGGCATCTGCTAAAGAAACCCTACCACGCTTCCTCCTCAAGCCCCCACCTCGAAGCGAATTCGCAGCACAGCGTGTATCCGCAGAAACGGGGGACGCATCAATCCGTTTGAAAGCCAGGCGCTGCTTCCGCTTCTAAGGCAGACCGGCTTACCGGAAGTGCATCAAGGCTGCAAGCACGTGAGAACTAGACAAGAAACGGGGTCTGGGACCGGAGAAGTTATTTATTTTGCTGCTTCTGATTCTTTCGCTCGTGGTGTGTATCAGTAAGCGTTGTATGAAGTTTCCCCTCCCCCCATACATAATTCCTCTTGTAACTCCCCAAGTCGAAGCAAAAAAGTAAACAGGAATAGGGGCGTGGGGTTAGCCCTTGAGAAAATAGAAATGCTGCTTTAAAATATACAACTAATGTGTGCCATAATGTGCCATAATGCCTCCTTAAGGAATTAGGGAACTAGTGAAAACTTATCTTTATTTCTAAAGATGGAAATAAGGGGAAGAAAGACCCTATTCCGGCCATCTAGGTTGCGGACAAAAGGGAAGGGAGGAAGGAAGCGAGAATACTTTTTCTAAGGTACGTAGAATGAGTGCGCTCTTATCCTACAATATTGGTTTCTCCTTGCTTAGTATTTTGATAAGGTTTTTAAATCCCATATGGAATCAAAGATAGTATTAGGACAGATGGCACTTTGAAGCAAATGTCTGTAGAATGCCCATCTTAAAAGATGAGACTTTGATTTGATGTTCATTTAGTACTTCGCTCATGTAGACATGGATCTGCCATTTTTTTCCCCAGAGGATCAAAAAAAAAGTCATGTATTCGAACCACCATCTACTGCTTTAGTACTATAATTCCTACAATGGCCGATCTGATATCTCTAGGAAGTTTACGCAAAGAGCAATAGTCTCTTCAATCCATTGTCTTCAATCTATTATTAATTCTTAAGTATAATTAAGAGGAAATATAGAGCCAAAACATTACACATAGACAGATTTCCTGTGCTGTTTGTCAAAAGGTTACTCTACATCAGGGGTAGTCAACCTTGGCTCTTTTATGACTCGTGGACTTCAACTCCCAGAATTCCTGAGCCAGCTGGCTCAGGAATTCTGGGAGTTGAAGTCCACGAGTCATAAAAGAGCCAAGGTTGACTACCCCTGCTCTACATGTACAGTATAACATTTGAGTGGTCGAGTCTGGTAACATTTTTTTAAATTGGTGAATTTTGTTTGAAAAGCCTTTTAACAGGGTCGAAAAGGTGCTACCAGACTCCTTATGATTTTTGGTTACTGTGGTAGGCTAACACATGTCCTTTCCTGCAGTGTTTACATATAACATTCCTATCACATACATACTGGCAGTAGTGTTAAAATATAAAGGTACTGGCTTTGTTGTGCATTCAAGGTGTTTTATAGTTACTCAGTGGCAGCAAAGGTCACCTCAGTAAACTATACAGTATCATCAAGATAATGTACCACAAGGAAATAAAATTCAATAGTTTTGAATAAACCAATGAAGTTTTGAATATTGTTCTGCTCTGAAAAATAAAAACAATGGTTATGAACCCTTTTAACATTAATATTGACTTTATATAAGGATCCAAAAGCAAGCATGGAATATTAATATTTGGCATATAGAACAAAATATTACTTATCTTTTTTTAATCCAATGTCACACAAAGATTTTCACACTAGTAGTATTACCACTGCATTGCTTTAAACTATCTTAAAAAGGCAGGATATGATTGGGCATTTTATTGCCTAAAAATTATTCTAGCCAGGTTAACTTCATTTCAGGAGATGATACATCTCCCTATACTCATTATATACACAACAGTATTTTCATTTGTAGGTTTCCTTTTGGCATCTGTTTCCTCTTTCTGGGAATATAATATTGGATGGATCTTTTGTGTAATGTATGTCAAACTGAATACAGTAGTAGATAAAAAGACAAAACTACATTAAATAATTTCAAAATTAATAATCCTGATAATATTTACTATTTTGCTTGAGAAGTCTTTCTTCTTTATCAAAAAATGAATTTGTATGTTGATAAGCATGACATATTAACAGTCCCTTACTGTAAAAGGAGTCAGGGGAGGAGTTCTCCTGATAAATTCTCTTAGTGAACCCCAATAGTTGAAAAATCCCCTATTAATAGATTCCAAATACTGGTGATAAAAGCCCATGCCTCTCTTAATACACACAAAATCATATTAATATGGATTTTGGCCCCAAATTTGGCAGTAAAAAGACATTTTTAAATTACCGTACTTTTTCAACTCAGTTCTCTGAGGTGTACAGTTTTGGGGGTTAGTATTAATCTCATTTTAATAGTATAGGAACCTGATTTCACATTATTCAACTATAGCTCTACTGGCTGACCAGGACAGGGTGCCCCAGCTCATTATGTAAAAGCCATGCAAATAATGAGTTTCTTCAACTTTGTTAAAAGGGATTAGTGGTTTAGAATTAATTTCAGTTAATTCCACTAAAATCTCCAATAGTTGGAGAATGTGGTTCAAATAATAAATGTATTGGAATAAACTGCCAAGCAGCATTTTGAGGTTAATCAGATATTTAGATATTCCATGTTTCAGGTATAATAAGTCCAGAGAGATCATATAAAACAAGAAGGGCAAATATGGTGTCTCTTGGTCCTGCATGGCCCGTCTATGTTCTGAATGCTTTTCTTCCCTTACCTCTCCTTAACTTTATCCATGATATACCCATCAACCTGCTCCTCCCAATTTTTCCAGACCCTTCTTTTCTACCTCAAGAGGACATCGGAGAGGAAAGGAAGATGTTTGAAAATCATAGGAGGATATGTGAGCCAATTGGATATGCTGTGGATAATGTAACATGACAAGAGCCACATGTTCAACCATCCTATAACTCCCCATCTTCTCACGCCTTTCCCTATTTTCCCTTGACCACTGCTAATGTCTATGGCAGAAGGGTATTATGCCTTTAAGGCTCATTGTTAGCAGATGCCTCTGAGCTGAATAAACATGATTTAAGTTCTACACATTGACTGCATCCCTTTTGGCAGTTATTTTAATCTGTACCCGTTGCTGTGTATGATTGGCTATCTTACTCACACATTGACTGCATCCCTTTTGGCAGTTATTTTAATCTGTACCCGTTGCTGTGTATGATTGGCTATCTTCCTGTGAGTAAAAGCACTTGTTTGCAGTTTGAAGTCACTTGATAGTGGACCTTGAACCTAAGGTAAAGCCACAGGGTGGTGCTGGTCTGAAAGTAATTGGTGACCGGAAACGAATTGTTATTAGTGGACTAGCATGTGCTATATCATATCATTAAGGAGTCATTAGGAAGTGCTGTAGAGAATTGATATAAGTGGCTCCAGGTATTTCAGTTGCATATGATAGCTAGCAGGCCCAAACCTTAGAGTGAATCATCATATCTCTTAATTAAAAGTGTTCAACAAAGTAAATAATTTGTACAGCATAATTTTGTCTCCCTCTCCTGCAAAGTTTTAAAAATATTGCTATGCAACTTGTTCTAGGATTATTAAAGTGATGTTTTGTTCACTGCAGTAATATAAAACATGCTAAGGTACCAACAGTACTTCTTATCTTCCTGTTTCAAAGGCAGCTTGTTTTAGTGGAGAACTACTACAACAGTAAAAGTAAAGGCGTCCCTGCAGATTTTACTCCATTAGTTGTTGCATGACAGCATGCTATCATGGAAGTGGTACCTGTTAATCTACTCACATTTACATGTTTTTGAACTGCTAGGATGGCAAGGAACGGGTGCTTACCCCATTGCATGGCGCTTGGGTTTCGAATCTGAGCTGCCAGCTTTCAAAGCTGACAAGCTCAGCTTCTTAACCACTGAGCCACCAGGGCAGTGGTTCTCAACCTTTTTAATGCCTCGACCCCCAACCGCTCGTAAGTCAAGGACTAAACCGGTCGTAAGTTGAGGACTACCCAACCGGTCGTAAGTCGAGGACTTTCCCTGCCCGGGAGCGCTGCGCATGCGTGGTTCCGCCCCCTGCGCCGGCCGAGGCGTAGCTGGCAAGCGGCAGAGACGGAGCAGGCCGACCACCAGCTGGCCCAGCTCAAGGGAGGTAAGGCACCCGCCGGAAAAGGGGAAAAAAATGGCGGACAGCCTTGCTTGGCGACTCCCGTGAAATGGTCGATCGACCCCAAATGGGGTCGCAACCCATAGGTTGAGAACCGCTGCACTAGGGTGTAGTGTTGAATGAACTGGTTATCCAAGGCTATTTCAGGTAAGTTGAAAATCTATACAAATAAGGCATTTCCCATTGTACTACACCTCGTGGTTGTTGTCTTTTGCTATCCTGTTTTCCTTTTCCAACCATCCTAGAAAAGAAGTCAGACTGAATGACAGCTTGGCAGCTCTTAATGTTATAAATTCCTGCTTCTTGTGCCATAATAAATGTGTCAGTTGTTCCTGGTTCCTCCCACTTCGCTTTCCCTTGTATTAAAGAGCATTTCTAATCAAAGTTTAACTTTGAATGAAGCAGTTAATCATAGAGTAATAATCTTGGCTAAATCAATAGATCTCTAGATCAGCAATCAGCCGTACATTATCGGCCTGTCTGAGAGTCTGAGCTTGCACTGTAAGACTTTAACGCTTTAAACATTTACAGTAATCTGCTTGAGTGCTTCCTGTTTCAGGCATTTATTGTGAAAATCTGTCAAATATGAACTCTGAATGTCCTTTGCTGTAAAACAGAGTTTCTACCCTGATTGCAAAATCTAAACAACATCAATTATTATTTGTATTGAAAACTGGGGCAATAGTTTTTGGGTGAACAAGCAGGAAGTAGATCCAAACAAAGTGAAACATGAGTAAGGCCGAATAAATAGTCTTGAAACATGAAATATAATAAAAAATAAAAAAGAGCTAGAGCAGTGTAGCTGGAGGAAAAACTACCTTGATCTCTCAAGGGCTTTTGATAACAATCACAATAGCCTTCTGGATGAACTAGGGACTGGGAGTTAGCAGAGATGCTGTGTTAGTAGTTTTTTCTTGGTGGTTGATTTGATTTGATTTGATTTGATTTTATTAAATTTATACCCCGCCCTTCTCCCGGAGGACTCAGGGCGGCTTACAGCCAGTTTAAAACAATGATACAATACAATACAAAATTTAAAAATGATTAAAAATAAATATTCAAATTTGGCCACTTCTACTAAAAATTTGATTAAAACCAATTTAAAATACCCCTAGGCCAGTCCTGCCCGCTGAAATAACCAGGTCTTGAGCCGCGCCGCCTTCCTCCCCTCTAGGCCTTAGTGGGCCTAGAGACCCCCGTCGAGCAAGGTCTCCCACCCACGAGGCTGTCTCTTCCGAGAGGGGGACCCCCAGCGGTCGGCTGTGACAGACCAACTACCGTGGGACTCCTCCGCCTCTCTGTGGGAGCGTATCGGCCGGTGGGAGGTAATCTGTGGCAGAAGGCGGTCTTCCAGTCAGTGTTGATGGGGAAGAGGTCTGTGGCTCCTTACTTACGGGATGGCACAGGGCTTAATACCCTTGCCCTTTTTGTTTAATATCTACATGAAACATCTGTAAAAGATCACCTGCTGGTTTATTTATTAATCAAATTTATATGGCTGCCCATCTCACAGAAAGTGATTCTGGATGGCATACAACAATCCAATAAAATTGTAAATAAAGAAAATCATTACCTGAAACCAGTCTGGAATCATTGTAATTGTACATCTTGACCCTGGGCTGTGAAAGTTTTGTCCCAGTGTCTGGAAGCTGTGTAGGTCTGGATGGATAGGGACAGACTTGGACAATCCTTATTAGACCAAGTGGTTATGGATATTTGACTCTTCCCTATCCTGTGGACTTCCCACATCTAATCTCTAATGAGATAGCACTATCCTATTTGAGACTGGTGTGTAACCTAGTAGTCTCCTTGGATTCATAGCTCCTATTTGAAGAGCAGGTGGCAGCTGTGGCCAAGAGGACCTTTCAACAGATTCATCTGGTCTGCCAATTGCATCTCTTCCTAGGTTAGAAAGCCATTCAGATGGTCACTTGTGCCTTAGTGATGTCACAATTGGACTCTTGCAGTGTGTTCTAGATTGGACGGACCTTGAAGACCACCCTGGAGTTATAGCTGGCCTAGAATGTGGGAGCAGAAAAGTAATGATCATGCAGCAGTATGCCCAGATGACATCAGTAGGCTTCCAGATACAATTTGAAGTACAGATTATCACCTACAAAGCCCTTATGACATAAAGCCTGGCTATTGGAAGGACTACCTATCTCTTGACAGCTTCTACCTAACCTGTAACACCAGAGAGTGGGCACATTCCAAGTCCTTTTGATCAAACAGTGGTATTTATCACGACTTAGGAACTGCATCGTCTCTGGTGCAGTTGTCCCCCTGGAACAACATTCCCACAAGATCTGTAGGTTTCCCACCATGATGTTGTTCATAAAAATCACTGAAGACCTGGTTATTTCCCGAGGCCTTGGCGTACAATGGGTGACATTTTTTGTTTGTTATATATGGTTTCCTTTTAGAAGCGTACATCTTCATTGAAAGCTGCCCAGAGTTGTGTAAAGTTGGGCAGCCTCTATGTCAGTGATGGCAAACCTTTTAGAGACCGAGTGCCCAAACTGCAACCCAAAACCCACTTATGCATCGTCGGGTGCCGGGTGGGTGTGGCCCATTCGGTGGGCGTGGCTGCGGTGGTAACGGCAGACTGGGTGGGACTAAAAAGTTCAATCAATCAATTCCAACTTTGCAAGATCTTTTTTTTTTCGTGAGAAGTTGAAATTGATTGATTGATTTAATTTATTTATTTTTTGCACACAGCAGCGGAGGCCTAAAGCGAAAAGGTTTTATAAAACCCAGCTGAAGGCCTAGGACTGGGGCGACGGCACGTGTGCCCACAGAGAGGGCTCTGAGTGCCACCTCTGGCACCCGTGCCATAGGTTCGCCACCACTGCTCTATGTTGTATAAAATAAATAAATAGTCTGCATGCTAGCTTAAAGCAGAAGAACTCCATGAGATCAAAACTGACTTTATGCCATTGTAGGTGGCAGTCACAATACAACCTTAATGGTTGGTTGCAATCTTTGAAACAGCTGTTATATTTTTACAGATGTGTGTTATCAAAGCATGTTTTGCCCAAATGGTTGAATGAACCTAGATGGCTGTTTAAATTGCAAAAAGACTGACCTTTTTAAGATAATAAAGAATTGTGGAAATCAAATGATGTAAGTGGGAATCTGGGTGGGGTATCATTAGGACACTAGGTGTTTATTAGCCCAGTATATTTATTATTAGAGAAAGAAATGCAACTCGTTCTTCTGTCCTGAAGTCAGCTGAATGACTGAGACTTGTCAATGAATAAACTGATTCCAGACACAGAAGTCTTCTGTCAGCTATAGAGTTCACTCACCAGAAAAACCTATTTCACCACTGTCTGAGGACTTTTTCCTGAATAATGTTTGGCGCCTACATAAATAAAAATAGGATGTGGTTTCATAGGCCTCCAGCACAGGGTACCTATTATCACTTTTAGATTAAAACAAATTCTCTGAAGATCTGTAGCCATGCAGTGAAAAATAATATTTCCCCAGGCTTGAAAATTGATGTTGCTGGCACTGATATGTAAATGAAGTTACTTTCTCCACTGTGAATCCTTTGTACATGATTTGAATAATAATGTACTTCCATGTCTAATTTACAAAGATTCATTCTGTTAAATGTCTTGGAGTTACTGCAGAAAACACTCCAATATTCTGGACCATAGACTGTTTGGTGTATCTGTAAAAATGTATGTAAAACCTGACCGAAAATGACCTGCCTATCATTTGAAATCCTGTTAGTTCTTTTGGTTATGAAAGACTTAGAAATTTGCAGCATTTGAGGAGCTCTATATACTCTCGGCTACTAAGGATATCCAGTGAAACCACCAGAGGAACATGAACTGGAATGGTTGAGCAGGCAGGTCTAGAGCAGGGGTCTTCAAACGTGGTCCTTTTATGACTTGTGGACTTCAACTCCCAGAAT